AACATCTTTATGTGCCGGATGGTGTGGCTCAGTGGTTGAGTGTTGACCTATGAACCAGGAGGTCACACAGTTCAATTCCTGGTCAGGGCACATGCCCCGGTTGCAGGCTCAATCCCAGTAGGGGGCATGCAGGAGGCAGCTGATCCATGATTCTCTCTCATCACTGATGTTTCTGTCCCTCTATCTCCCTTCCTCTCGCTGAAAAAAACAAAAATATTTTTTTAAAAAAACCACATCTGTATGTCAACAAAAGATGAGTTAGATAAAATGGGCAGATTCCTAGCCCTGGCCAGGTGGCTCAGTTGGTTGGAGCCTCACCCTGTGCGTCAAAAAGTTGGTGGATTCAGTTCATACCTAGGTTGCAGGTTTGATCTCCAGACAGGGCATATCAACGTTTCTCTCTCACATAAATGTTTCTCTCTCCCTCTCTCTCTCTTTCTCATCTCTTTCTCTCTCTCTCTCTCTCCCTCTTTCTCTAATACAGTGGTTCTCAACCTTCCTAATGCCGCGACCCTTTAATACAGTTCCTCATGTTGTGGTGACCCCCAACCATAAAGTCATTTTCGTTGCTACTTCATAACTGTAATTTTGCTACTGTTATGAATCGTCATGTAAATATCTGATATGCAGGATGTATTTTCATTGTTACAAATTGAACATAATTAAAGCATAGTGATTAATCACAAAAAACAATATGTAATTATATATGTGTTTTCCGATGGTCTTAGGCAACCCCTGTGAAAGGGTCGTTTGACCCCCAAAGGGGTGGCGACCCACAGGTTGAGAACCGCTGCTCTAAAGTCAATAAAAATATATTCTCGTGTGAGGATTATAAAATAAAAATGGACACATCGCCCTAGCCGGTTTGGCTCAGTGAATAGAGCATCAGCCTGTGGACTGAAGAGTCCCAGGTTCGATTCGGTTCAAGGGCACATGCCTGGGTTGCAGGTTAACTCCCTGGTGGGGGGCATGCAGGAGGCAGCCGATCAATGATTCTCATCATTGATGTTTCTATCTCTCTCACTTCCTCTCCCTTCCTCTCTGAAAGCAATAAAAATATATATTTTTAAAAAAATGGACACATTCCAATAAAAACACAAATTACCAAAACTGACTTAAGAAGAAATAGAATGTTTGAATAGACCTACCATATTTTTTAATTGAATTAGCCATTTAAAATCTTCCCACAAAGCTAAGTCCAGCTCAGCGGACAAGGAGTTCACAGTGAAGATTCACAGGGCACAGGGCAAGGATGAGCTCACAGGTGAGGTGCGGAGGTCAGGCCAGCAGCAGACACGAGGCGGCGCCACTGGCTTCAAACCCCACTACTGGCCAGGCCAGGAGCCTAGAGCTCTTCCTGGCGTCCTGGCCAGCTTTCAACTCGTCCATCTGCCCCTTACACCATGGCACCTTCACCCTCCCTCTCCTGAATGTTGCCCCCATTAGTCATCGAATGTGGAATGTTCACGGATGGAAGACAGAATTCTCCAGGGCCAAAGCGATTCTTTCCTGCCAGCTCCTCCCACCACGGCGCCCTCTACCCAGACACCGGAAACACAGCAGCTGTTCCCATCGCCTGGCAGCCTGGGTGTAGGTACCAAACGCGTGCACCTTTGCCCGGCGGGGACCGCCACAGGGTCGTGCCACTCGCGGGGAATTTCCGCCCGCACGGACAAGGAGACAGGAAATCCAGCCGTAAGGGCAGATGCAGCCTGCAGTGCTGGCAAAATCCCCGAGTGCAGCCCCGGAAGTTTGAGTTCCCTTATGACTTCGTCACTAAAAGCAGGGCCCTGACCAAAAGCATAAACCACCCCTGGAACCTGACAGGGGTAGAAGGAAATATTTCCTTGTCCTCCGTTACCCATGAAAGAGTTACATATTACAAAATCAGTGTTGGGCATTTACTCCTAGTAACACCAGCTAACGCGTTGAGCCACACCTTCGCTTTTGCAGCCATGTTACACCATGCACACCACGCACACCACGTACACCACGCACACCACGCACACCACGCACACCACGCAGCCACACCTTTGACTGACATTCCGACTAAAGCCCCGATCCTGCATCATCTTAAAGTGCCGTTTCCCATTTCAGCCCAGCTCTGCTGCTTCCGGGCTCCGAGACAAAATCCTTCTGCGTGGCATTTTTATCTGTACATTGGGCTCAAAACAGATACACTTCGCTGCTGTAGTTTAGGTCAAACTTTTCTGTTTATGGTAGCATAATAATTACGATAGTACAACACTGATGATATATCTATAGAGTCATAAGTTGATCGTATGGAGGCTATTAACACACTCCATTCTAACACGACTGAAAGGACCTGACAGTAATTGACAACTTAGGCCCAAAAACTCACCCCACTATTGCTCCAAAAGAGAAACGCGCAGGTCACTAGGGGATGGGCCTGGGGGAAGATGGTCTTACCTGTCGGTGTCCTGGGACAGCATTCTATTGGTGAGACTAGAAACCTAATCGGCGTTCGGATATAACGTCCTCCTAATCCACGTTCGGGTGATAATGTCCTCCGCATCCGAGGTCAAATCAAAAACCAACAGGAACTACACTGGAAATCAAGCCTAGAGCATCACGGTTGATAGGCCCTTTGGGGCCTCCTTACAGTGACTTACCAACCACAGCCGCGGATATTGAGCGCCCAAGTTGCCACCATCTCCGCGGGGCGGAACCTCGGAAAGGGGCGGGGGCTTAGCCATAACCTGTGATAGGCTGGTTCCGGGTGTCCGGGGCACGCACACCGGGGGCCAGCGGGGCGTATAAAGATTCGAAGCCCAGACTCAGGTACCCACTAGCCAGACTGCAGGCCTCCGGGTAGGACGCTACCCCCAGGAGCTCCGAGGACTTGCCCCGAGGACTTGCCCCGCGACGCGCAGCTCTTCGCCCAGCCCGCCGCCAGCCCGCCCCACCTGTCGCCGACGCTGAGTGACACTCGCCCTCTGCCAGACCCCACAGCAGCACCGCCCGCAGCGCCACTCGGATGATAGGCAGCCGCCTCCCCAGCCCCAGCTTCCATGCTGCGCCCTGGTGGGGACCCCAATCCGGGGGACCCGGCCCCGCCAAGCGCCGCCGAATTGAGGAGCCCGCGGGCCCTGAAGACCGGATGGCGCCCAGCCTGCAAGGCCCCGCGGGACCCCAGGCCGCCGACGCGCTCACCTCCGTGCTGGTCGTGGCTGCAGGCTGTGCCCTGCAGCTGCCTCTGGACGGCGGCGTCGACCTGGTGCTGCAGCCCGAGCCCACGTCGGTCCTGCAAGTGTCTCTGGGCGGGCACACCCTCGTGCTGGTCCCCGAGGCGCTCTTGGGCCCGGGAGCGGGGGCGCACCCGCCCGTCGTCGGCCTGGAACCCGGCGCTCTCCTGGGCGCTCCCGGGGGAGGCGTCGCCATCCAGCAGGGATTCTTCTGCGCATTTGCCCCACAGATCGCCGTCCCAGAAGAGGCCCACCACCAGGACGAGGACGCCGCCCCCGGGTTCCTGACTCCCTGGATGGTCCCTGCAGCCGGCTCGGTCGCTGGAACGGGGTTAGGCCCCCACCCGCACGGCCCCATCAGACAGCCATGGCCTCAGGCCCCCACGCCTAGTCCAGAGAGACGCCCGCCTGGGCCCGACTTCAACCTGAACTTCCACCTGTGGGAGCGCTTCCCCAGCTCACCGCTCCAAGCTCTACCTCCGTCCCCCAGTCCAGGTCCGCAGGTGCGCCCCCGGCGCCCTCTGGGGCCTGCTCCCAAGGCCCGGAAACGCCTGTTCCAGGAATGAACTGCTGCCATCCCGCCCCACGGGGCTGAGGACCAGGAGAAGGGATTCTGATAGCGCTTGTGTGTATATTGCACATCCTACAAGAATGGATAAAGACAGATACTCTTTTGATGCAGGCTGCTTTGCAGAATTTTCGATCAATGGTAGACTAAAACATTTGGAAGAAAGATCACAAAGCAGCCGAGAAATGCTGCTTCAAACACAGGATACTTGACTTTGGGTGGTGAGCACACAATGCTATATACAGATGATGTATTATATAAAATTGTGCACTTGAAACGTATGTAATTTATTAACCAGTGTCCCCCAATAAATATACTATTTAAGAAATATTTTTAAAATACAGAGTACATCCAGATTGCTACTTAGGTTGTTTTCTTTATATAGGTCACCTTTAAGCAGTTCCATTCCCCCTAGTTTTGCTTCAAACCTTGACGCCAGTACTTTTCTCTAAAAATACTTCCCTTCCCCAGTAACCTACCACTGTGCCTCTTTTCTCCCAAATTAGAGTAATTACTAAATTTCTTTTGTTTAATGGGTTTTGGCTCTAATATCCATGGCACCAGCCCCTTGGGAGGATCTAGCAAATAGCTACATGTGGGCAAATGTCTGTTGGGTACAAAACAAACAGAATGGGGACCAATGACCGTGCTCCCTCCTCTCTTCTTAATGACTAGGTAAGCAAATGATTTAACTATATTCCTGTGTTTGTGGAGGTTTTTTTCCCCAAAGTATCAACTCTTTTCCAGTATTTTCTTATATATTTAATATAATTTTCCTGTCCTGGAAATGTAATTCTAAAGACTGTATTTTTATAGTTCTAAGATCCCAGATATATTTTGTACATTGGTACTGGCATCTGGAAATAATTTATTCTCATATTGATCTGGTATCCAGCAAAATTATTTAATTTCTTTAATGGCTTATTTGTAGATTCTCTTGCTTGACTGATAAAGACAATACTAATTCCAAATAGTGAGAAATTGTCTTGTTGTTGTTGTTAAACCTCACCTGAGGATATTTTTTCCATTGATTTTTTTTAGAGAGAATGGAAGGGAGGAGGAGAGACAGAGAGAAACATCGATGTGAGAGACATCGATTGGTTGCCTCCCACACGTGCCCAGACCAGGGCTGGGACCAAGCCTGTGACCGAGGCTCCTGCCCTTGACCAGAATTGAACCTGAGACCCTTCACTCCACAAGCCAGTATTCTAAACACCGAGTAAACCGGCTAGGATGAGAAATTGTCTTTTTTGACAAGCCTCTTACATGTTATTCCTTAGTCTCCTTTATTAGATATCACTTCAAGTCCAGATTGAACAGTAATAGGGGCATCCTGTCTTATAACTTGTGTAAATGTAGGTGCTTCTAAATTTTGCCATAAATTGTAATCTTTTCTGTACATGCTTGGTAGATAACCCTTATCCTACTAAAGAAATTAGTTTTCAGTCTTTCTAGTCATTAAAATTTTTGGATTTTTGTGTTGTTTGGTGCTGACTACAAAGACTTTCTCAGATTATTCTGCATGTTGGCATTTTATTGTTTGTGTGTCTACATAAAGTAGCTACATTCATTCTTTGAGTCTTTGGGTACATACAGAAAGCTGGCAACCGAGCAAATGAGACCAAGTTTGGGGCTTCAGGGATTTTAAAAATTGCATGCCCTTCTGACTTCAGAAGAGAATGTGGAAGGGGAAAGGCAGTAACTGCAGGGTCACTTTAAGGGTTTTAAATGTTAAATTTTGAAACTAATTTTTCTGTATGTATAAGATGACTTATTGTAGTTTCTTTTTAAATCTATTCATGTGGTCATTCACACTGATAGGCCTTCTAAAGAAGTATCTTTGCATTTCGGTTATTCTACATTATTTTATATGATTCTAATTCCACCCTTGGTTCTTTTTTGTTTTTTTTCTTTGTTTATTGCAACCATATACCCACCATTCCTATTTTTTTAATTATTTTTCCAGGTTTGCCTCATATTTTACAATGAAATAAATTATTAGTGATAAAGCTAATATCAAGATACTAGCTTTTTTCTGTTGAACATTAATAATTATTTAGACTTACCAACATGCTTTGCCAGTATCTTTGCTCACCTTCTGTTCTTGCATTCAACTCCTTCATTCTGTCCTCATTTTTTTTCTTACCAACGTATACTCTTTCAAATTCCTTCAGCTGTGGCCTGTGTATAAATCTTAGTTTTATATGCCTGCACATATTTCAATTAAACCTTCAAACTTGTATAATTCTAGCTTGGTTTGGAATTCTAAAATAATGTCTATACTCTCTCACTACTTTAAAGTCTGCTCTATTCTTTTCCCTACCATTTATTGTCACAGTTCAGAAGTCTTCTGTCATTTGTATTGCCATTCCTTTGTAGGAGATTAGGCTACTTACTTTAGTATTTTTCTTGACTTTGATGTTCCACAGTTTCAACCTGATGTGTTTAGCAGTAAAAATGTTGCCTGCTGCAACTCAGTGAGCTTTCTAAATCTGAAGAATTAACTATTTTCTTAAAATCTCAAAAAAGAATGAGTCAGTATCTCTTGGGCAATTAAACCCCTCTCCAACCTGTGAGACTTCTAATAGAGAAATGTTGGAGCTGCTTAACTAATGTCCCTAACGCTATCTCTCTTTTTAATTTCTATATCAATTAGCTCAATAATTCAACTTCCTCTGGCATAAAATCTCCAATTATTTGGCAACATGAAATAAGACTGATTTTCTCCTGGGCAAAGAAATTTGTTTTATGGACATACTTTGAATGGGAATACATTTTCTGCTCCACATTTGAATTTTTCATTGCTTCTTCCTGGTTCCCTGAAATCCAGAACTCAGGCCCTAGCTGGTTCAGCTCAGTGGATAGAGCGTTGACTGGAGGGTCCCAAGTTCAATTCCAGTCAAGGGCACATACTCAGTTGTGGCCTCCATCCCCAGTAAGAAGCGTGCAGGAGGTAGCCAATCAACGGTTCTCTCTCATCATTGATGTTTCCATCTCTATCTCCCTCTCCCTTCCTCTCTGAAATCAATAAAAATATATTTTTTAAAAATAAATAAAATAAAATCCAGAACTCCGAACCACCTATATGGGAGCTCATATAATTTGAACCTGAGAAATATTCCCTTTCTTTTGTAAGGCACCATTCAAACGAACAGTTTTGTTCAAGTCAAATCATCCTTGGTGAAGTTATGTCATTTCAAAAGATAGGCACAAGGATTAGGATTGTAAAAAGACTACATAGAAGAAGCAGACATTTTTCCTGGAAGAGGAGAGGATTTAGACTTAGATTACCCCATAAGAGCTGTGAAAGGTGGGTAAAACATGATACTTGTGCACCTTATGTCTTAGGCCCCCAATATGATGGTTGGCTGCCTCTGAATGCACAACTGACAGTCTACACCCCTTAGCAGGAGGAAAACCAGAGAAAACACTCTTTCTGAGTCAATTCCAAACTTTCAGGACAAAAAGAAAATCAGGACAGGAGAACCTCTTGGTTTTATTGATAAGCCACAGCAAAGTTTCTCCAAATGGATACCAGTCTGGTGAGAACTGCAAACTCACCAGACTGTGATGCTGGCCTGAGCAACAGGCTCAGAGGACCTATTACTGTGTTATATGCCCTGTGTTTCTCGTCTTTGTGACAAACAACACTTTTAGTCAGCAAATGCAAAATGGGAACATGACAGAGAACACAAGGAGATGAGAAAAAATGTCTTGATTCCACCAAGGATGTCAAATAAATGGAACCAGTAGCAAAACCTGGTACCAGGTCTGGCTGGTGTGGCTCAGTTGACGGGGGTTGTCCCATGCACCAAAACGTTGCTATTTTGATTTCCAGTCAGAGTACATGCCCGGGTTGTGGGCTCAATCCCTGATATGGGGTGTGCAGGAGGCAGATCGATGTTCTACTCTCATATTGATATTTCTCTCCGAAAATCAATTTTGAAATCTTAAAACACACACACCTGATACCAAACTGAGAGTAAATAGCCAAGAAACTACTGCTCAGCACATTGGCCCAGACTCCATAAACTGAGAGTATCAAGGCAAAAGGTGCCTCCATGGGTGCTGTACCTGTTTGAAGGCTGAGGTCCATGGGGATGGGCAGTGCAGACTCTATCTCACAGGGACCTCCAGGAAAACTGAAAATAAAGAAAGCCCACTTCAATTAGAACAGCAGTTCTCAACCTGTGGGTCGCGACCCCTTTGGGGGTCGAATGACCCTTTCACAGGGGTCGCCTAAGACCATCAGAAAACACGTATATAATTACATATTGTTTTTGTGATTAATCCCTATGTTTTAATTATGTTCAATTTGTAACAATGAAAATACATCCTGCATATCAGATATTTACATGACGATTCATAACAGTAGCAAAATTACAGTTATGAAGTAGCAACGAAAATAATTTTATGGTTGGGGGTCACCACAACATGAAGAACTGTATTAAAGGGTCGCGGCATTAGGAAGGTTGAGAACCACTGAATTAGAACAAGCAGAGGCTATTTACTCAGAGCTTGTTAGAGCAAGGGTGTCAGCCCTGTCACTTGCTTGCATTTGACAAACTTATAGGTAGGCCAGGGAGTAGGAAAGCTTTATGGTGGAGAAAGGGGAGGGCTTCTGGTATGTTTGGAGGTTGTTGGCTGGGGGAAGCTGGAGGCAGGCTAACTAGAAGCAGGACATCCTATGTAATTGGATTGGCTTGTGTGCTTTGGGTCTTAGGCATAGCAGGTTTGGCTTTCTCAAGTTGGCCCCGAGTTGGAAGTGGGGGTGGGAATTAGAAAAGCTGACCAAGTCCTGAACATTTGGGGCCAGTTGCTGCAGAGGTTATGGTTTACTTTCTGGGCTGCTTGCTACAAAGGTGTGGGTCAGAATTCTGTTGTCATATGTGGTCTGGCCATTGTTTTGTATATTCAGCCTCTCACATCCCATTTCCCCATCCAAAATCAGAAAGGAAGAAGTAACATCTCTATCTGCAGATTATATGATTGTATGTG